GCGCGGTGCCAGGGGCAGCGCGTTGCTCGGCAAAGGTGTGCCAGACGGCCCCTGTGAACGACGCACCCAGGGTGACCTGAAGGTGCCTGATCGTCTCGTTTGGTGAATTCTCCGTAGGGTTCCCACTGGGAGTCGTGGACCCGGACTTTACAGAGCGGCCTTCCAATGTGGAGCCCCGTGGTCCTGGATTCCGGCGATCGGCGAACAGCCCGGGCGTCCACCCACTTCCCGTCCGACGCGTCGAGGATGCCCCCCAGTTGGGCTGCCGGCCCGTCTCGGCGGTCGAGCTCACGTCCCCACCCGAGAGGGGGGGGTCTGGCGAGCTTTGCAGGGATGCAGGGGTTGCCCCGTGGCCGCTTGTAGAGGCGCCCGTCCGCATGGAGTCGCTAGCAGGGGAGGGGGGGCGAATGGGGGCGCAAGGGCTCCTCGAAACCAGCTGAAGGATGGCTTCGTTGCCCCGCTCGTCAGGGGAAGGCTGACGCGTGAGCGCGGTGGAACTTCCCAGTGCCGTCTGGAGGGTGGCTTCACTACGGGCAGGCCGTCGGGTTGGCCGTCGGGCTGGCCGAGGAGCTGTATGTAGCAATGGGCGTCGGGCAAGGCCTCAGGTAGAGTGGTCGGGCGTCGGGTGAGGCGTCAGACTGGTCGCGGGGCTGGTCGTAGAGCTAGCCATGGGAATGGCCTCGGGGCTGGCTGTCGGGCTGGCCGTCGGGCAAGCCTTGGTGCTGGCGGTCGGGCTGGCCGTCGGACTGGTCGCGGGGCTGGCAGTCGGATTGGCCGTGGGGCAGACTGAAAGGCTGGTCGCAGGGCTGGCAGTCGGGCTGGCCCCGGGCCCCGGGGCTGGCCATCGGGCTGGCCGTCGGGCTGGCTGCGGGGCTGGCCGTGCGGTTAAAAAAATCGGGCTGGCCGTGGGACTGGCCGTAGGCCTGGCCGTGGGGGAAGCCGTGGGGCTGGTCGTGGGGCTGGAAAACGGGCTGGCCGTGGGACTGGCCGCGGGGCTGGCAGTCGGGCTGGCCGTCAGGCTGGCCGTGGAGCTGGCAGTCCAATTTGCCGTGGGGCAGGCCGTGGGGCCGGCAGCCGGGCACGCCCTGGGTCTGGCCGCAGGGCCGGCCGCGGGGCTGGTAGTCAGGCTGGCCCCGGGGCTGGCCGTCGGGCTGGCCGTCGGGCTGGCCGTGGGGCTGGCCAGGCTGGCCGTGGGACTGGCCGTGGCCGTCGGGCTGGCTGTGGGGCTGGTCGCAGGGCCGGCCGCGGGGCTGCCCGCGGGGCTGGCAGTCGGGCTGGCCACGGGGCAGGTCAACGGGCTGGCCGTCAAGCGGGCCGCGGGGCTGGCAGCCCAGGCAGTGGGGCTGGCAGCCGGGCTGACCGCGGGGCTGGTCGCCAGGCTGGCCGCGGGGCTGGACGCGGGGCTGGCCGTCGGACTGCCCGTAGGGCTGGCCGTCGGGCCGGCCGTGGGGCTGGCAGTCGGCCTGGCCGTGGGGCTGTCAGTCGTGTTGGCCGTGGGGCTGGCCGCGGGGCTGGCAGTCGGGCTGGCCGCGGGGCTGGCCGTGGGGCTGGCCGTGGGGCTGGCCGCGGGGCTGGCAGTCGGGCTGGCCTCGGGGCTGGCCGTGGGGCTGGCCGTGGGGCTGGCCGTGCGGCTGGCCGTGGGACTGGCCGTTGGGCTGGCCGTCGGACCGGCCGCGGGGCTGGCAGTCGGCCTGGCCGTGGGGCTGGCAGTCGGGCTGGCCGCCGGGCTGGCCGTGGGGCTGCCAGTCGGGTTGGCCGCAGGGCTCGCCGTGGGGCAGGACGTGGGGCTGGCAGTCGGGCTGGCCGTCGGACTGGCCGTCGGGCTGGCCGTCGTGCCGGCAGCCCAGCTGGCCGTGGGGCTGGCCGGACTGGCCGTGAGACCAGCCGTGGGGCTGGCAGTCGGGCTGGCCGCGGTGGTGGCAGTCGGGCTGGCCGTCGGGCCGGCCGTGAGGCTGGCAGTCGGGTCGGCTGCGGGGCAGGCCGTGGGGGTGGCAGCCGGGCTGGCCGTGGGGCTGTCCTCGGTGCTGGCCGCGGGGCTGGCAGCCAGGCTGGCCACGGGGCTGGCCGTCGGGCTGGCCGTCCTGCTGGCCGGGCTGGCCGTGGGACTGGCCGTGGGGCTGGCAGTCGGGCGGGCCGTCGGGCTGGCCGCGGGGCTGGCCGCAGTGCAGGCCGCGGGGCTGGCCGCGGAGCAGGCAGTCGGGTTGGCCACGGGGCGGGCCAACGGGCTGGCCGTCCGGCGAGCCGAGGAGCTGGCAGTCGGGCAGGCCGCGGGGCTGGCACTCCGGCAGCGCGGAGGGCTGGCCGCCAGGCTGGCCGCCTGGCCGCGGGGCCGGCCGCGGGGCTGGCAATCGGCAGCAGCAGCGGCCGCCGCGAAAGCGGCCGAGACGCCAGCCACGGCGCCGCCGGCCGCCGCCGCCGCCGCAGGGGAGCCAGCGGCGCCGGCAGCAGCGGTGGCGGCGGCGGCGGCGGCAGCAGCGGCGGCGGCCGCGGCGCTGGCGGCCGAGAGGGGCGGCAGCGGCGACGCCGGCCACCGCGTCCTCCGCCGCCGCCGCCGCCGACGAGGAGACGGCAGCGGCGGCGGCAGCGGCAGCTGCAGCGGCCGCCGCGAAAGCGGCCGAGACGGGGCGGCCGCCGGCCGCCTGCGACGGCGGCGGCGACGAAGGCGACGGCGGCGGAGGGCCGCCAAACCCTGGCGGGGCGTCCCGCCGCGCCGCCACCAGCCGCTGACGGCGGCGCAGCGCGGCCCCGGAGAGGGCCGCCCCGGGAGCGGACATGGCCCCGGCCTGAGCGCACACCTGAGCGAGGGGCGGGTTTGAGCCGAGACGGCTTGAGCCAAAGGGGCTACGGAGCTGGCGGGGTTACTTTTCAGTCAGCGGCCGCAGGCGAAGGCGCCGACGGCGTGTTCAGTCAGAGCGGGGCGCGCAAAGACGAACTAACCTAAAGCCAACGGGCCGAAGCATCACGCGGCACCTCGGCGGCCAGGCCGGCGAGTGGAGGCAGGCTGCTGACGGCCGTTGCCAGGGTAGCTGCACTGCCAGGGGTGCACGCATGCATGCCGGGACTGAGCTGAGGGGTTGCCAGCGCGCACAGCTGCAAGTCAGTCAGACGTGGGAATTAGTTGCAAGGGCGCAAGCCCTGGGACTACTACGAAGGTACCAGGGTGGCCGCAGCCAACTGAACCGACTGTCGTAAGTCGAATTGCTGGTGGGGTTACTTTTTTGTTTGGCGGCCAGCAAGGAAAAGTCCAGAGGGCGTGTCAATCAACGGCAAAGGGGCGCGATGCCAGATAATTCGAGAGGCCCAGGCCACAAAAGGAGGAGGCCGCCAAGAGGGCGCCAACCCACGCACGTGCAACATGCAGAGCAGGACCGGAGTATTGGACGGGATGCCCTAACAACAACCGAACACATGGACACGCAGGCGCACGCCCCACGGGACATGGCCGGGAAGCAAGCACTGGTGGCGAAGCGTCAAGAATTCCTCCTCCCTTTCCATCTCCTGTTCCTCCTTCTCCTCTACCTCCTCCTCCTCCTGCTCCTGCTCCTCCTCCTCCTCCTCCACCTCCTACAGAACATACTATTTTCGGAATGCGCGCTGCTGGGCTGCCGGCTTCGAGCCCTAAAGAGGCCCAAGGCTGGTCCAAGAAGGCCCCCCAAAAAACATCAATGAGAACCAAGTGGAAAATCCATGTTTTTCGCATTTTCGCATTTCGCTTACGATCGGCTCTGAAGGCGTCAAGATAGCCCCAGGACGGTTCCAAATGAGTCCCCTGACGAGCCCCGAAGAGGCCCAAGGCTGGCTCAACAGGGCCCGGAGTCGAAAACAAGAAAAAACCCATTGGAAAAGCAATGTGTTCGGCCTTCTCTCTTTTCCTTTCCGGTTGGCTCGAGAGGCGTCAAGATGACCCCAAGATGGCCTCAGAGAGGCGTAAGCCGATCCCACAGAGGCCCAGGGCTGGCCGAAGAGGGCCCAAAGAATTGAAAATCAGTGACTATCAATTGGGAAATCAGTGTGTTTGGTCTGCTCGCCTTGTCACTTCCGATTGGCTCTTGAGGCATCAAGAGAGGCCCAGGACGGCTGCAAATGAGTCCCCAGACGAGCCCCAAAGAGGGCACAGACTGGCCCTAGACGGCCCGGAGATTCGAAAATCAACTTGAAAAAAACCCACTGGAAAAGCAATGCTTTCGGCCTTCTCGCCATTTCGCTTCCGGTCGGCTCGGGAGGCGTTAAGACAGCCCCAGGATGGCTCCGGAGAGGCGCAAGCCGGGCCGAAGAAGGCCCAAAGAATTGAAAATCAATGAAAACCCATTGGAAAAACAATGTTTTTCGCCTTCTCGCTTACGATCGGCTCTTGAGGCGTCAAGATAACCCCAGGACGGCTCCAAATGAGTCCCCAAACGAGCCCCAAAGAGGCCCAAGGCTGGCCGAAGAATGCCCAGAAAATCAAAGATACATGAAAACCCATTGGGAAAACAATGTTTTTGGTCTTCTCGCCTTTTCGCTTACGATCGACTCTTAAGGCGTCGAGATAGCTCCAGGACGGCTCCAAATGAGTCCCCCGACGAGCCCCAAAGAGGCCTAAGGCTGGCCCAAGAGGGCCCGGAGAGTCGAAAATCAGAGAAAACCCAAGGCGCAAGACAGGCCCGAGGATTCGAAATTCGTTTGGGGGGGGGTCAGGGGTGGTGCGCTCTGTCCCGGGTCCCCAGCCCTATAAAAATACATGGATAGGAATAATGTGTGTGTATAAATAGTAAGGGGACGCTGGGCAGTCGGGGTACACCAGACGTGCTACGAGACGAATAGCGGTGCGTGCTGAGGGTAGTAGTGGCAGTGCAAACCGCGTCGCGATGGTGAAGAGCGCGGGCAATCGCAACAGTGGCAGTTCGAGTTGGGAGCTGGCAGTAGTGGGCGGCAGCATGCGGCAATGATGACCATTGCTGGTGAGGGCGGCGGCGGCAGCGGCGATGGCGGCGGCAGCCGTGACAGCAAGCAGCAGCGGCCTCCGTGTACCGCATCTGTGTCAGGTAGAACCGTATCTGAAAAATCGTCAGCAGGTTTACCCATATGGAGTAGTGGGAGACCTGCCACGGAACGGTCAGCGGACCAAGTCGTCTTCCTCCTGTTTCCACTGTTCATCCTTCTCATCATTCGACTCCTCTTCATCCTCCTCCTCATCATCAACATCCTTATCACCATCACCCTCACAATTATCCTCATCCTCACCATATTCCTCTTTCTCATCCTATTCATCCTCATCCTCCTCATCCTCATCATCATCAGCAGCATCAGCAGCATCAGCATCACCATCACCATCACCATCATAAGCATCATCATCATCATCAGCATCATCATCACCCTCATCCTCATCCTCATCATCCTCATCCTCATCATCCTCATCCTCATCCTCATCCTCCTCATCCTCATCATTTTCAGCATCAGCATCAGCATCATCATCACCATCATCCTCATCATGATTATCATCATCAGCATCATCAACAACATCGTC